CCGGCCCGGCCCACCACGGCCGCGGTGCAGGCCCGGCCCGGCCCGGCCCGGGGAGGAGCCGGCCGCCTCGCGAAATGGCGCCGCCCCTCGGCCGCCGCGCGAAATGGCGCCGCCTCTCGGCCATGGTGAGGGAAGGTCGCTGTGGTTTGGGGTACGTTTCTCGCCGCTCTGCGCTGGAAAACGGCTTTTTGCTTTGCTTTTCCCTTCTAATTTGAGGTGGGAGGCGTGTATGTGCCCCTGAGTGCCTACATGTTGCACACACAGCGGGAGGAAGGCTGACGGGGCAAGCGAGGAGCAATGGACGTGGCTAGAAAGAGATCCTGAAATGGGTTTTTTTTGTTGTTGTTTTCTCCTCGTAAGTGGAAACACAAAAATAGCTCTTTGCAAGGGTTGAACCTCACTGACACTACTAGCAAAGTAGGACCAGTCTGTGGGCCGGGAGATGAAGACCGAGGGACAAGTGTGAGGTTTAGGGGACGGCACCTCAGTATTGGCAGCAGAGTTTCACATACGGCTCATCCAACTCCTCCGTGTTTGCTGGATCCCCAGTGCTCTTTTCAGCCTTCCCAGTACTCCACACTTTATAACAACCATTTAAAATACTCTCCTTGTTGTCAACTCAAAGTTAGAAACACTGTTTGGGATAACTAGAATTACAAATTGGGCTAAAGCCATGTGTGAATAAGCCCATACGGGTGTTGGTTTGCTCTCTGCAACACCTGAATCATGTGAAGCTTCAAGTTTGTTGGGGTATAGCAAGTAAAACTTGATTAAATGGATGGGAAGTTGATGTGATGTCAGCTCAAATTCAGCAGAATTAAGCCAGAAGCTGCTTGAGACTAATTTGACCACGAGATGGCACAGCATGTTAAGAAAGGTACCTGTGTAGCCTGTAACATCGGTGGAAAGGGTGCTGAGATCCCTGGATTACAGACCACATGTGCCCAGAAGTGAAAATTCTCATAGGGAATTATTCTCATTTCTTTTACATGAACTCTGTGAACATAATTTGGCCAAGGAGGATGAAGCTCCACTGCTGGTAACACTCCCTCCCTAGGCTATGTAGGGGCTTTCCTGGTACAAGTCTGTTGTGATGGTTGCGTTTCAGTCACTATTAATTATAAATTTCACACTGGTGCCTATGAGGGGAAAAACGAAGCATATAAAATGAGAGAAAGCAGATTTTTTGATTTCAGGTTAGATTTTTCTTTCTTTAACTTACTCTTGAAGATCAGTATTTCCATGAGTGTTTTATTTCACATGCACTTGGCTTTTGCGTACTTCAGGCTGCATTTAAAATAGTTGTAGCTCTTTTTTTAAGATACCTTCTCAGTCTGGAAATACAGGACTCATGGTCGGACTGACAGAAAACGCTGATGTCTTCATAAAGCTTCCTTTGGAGCTCAACAGCTCAGAATCAGTCCAAAACTATGGAGAGGCACCCAGCTTCCCGTGATGCCAACCAGCCACTCCTGCAAAGACGACGCATGATGCATCGTCCTTTTTCATTCCCATCTTCATAGTTGGCAACACAGGCAACTCTACAGACTCTGGGCTCCTTTTCCCAGCCTGCAGTTATCTCCTGCTGTTACTGCATGGTTTTGGTAACTTGCCTGCAGCACTAGGCTGTAGTCTGCAGTGTAGACATACTCCAAAGCCACAAGATCCTAGCACTAAATTGCATAGATAATTCACCTCCTGTGGGAGACTTTTCACACCACAGTTTAACACCCTTTCATAGCTTTTTTTCTACCAAGAACGTAGACTGTCAAGCCAGAAGCCTGGTCCACAGGGGTAATAATTCCCAGAAGCCTGGTCCACAGGGGTAATAACTTGCAATACTCTTAAAATGACTAGTCACTTCCTCTAGTGTATTTTGAGATGCTCTAGTTGAACTAATTAGGTCTCTCAAGTCACTTTGTTTCCACCAGTAAGAAAGACAGAATGCACTAACAAGCCTTTTAAGGACATTCAAGGATATGCTGGTACAAGAAAAAGAGGAAGAAAGTAGAAACAACAAAGGTTCAGGAAACACTTGTGGCTAGTGTTGTGAACTGGTGATAAGTGCATATTTGCAAAGTCAGAAAGAAAAAAAATGAACCCCTTTACTAAGAACTATTATTTAGATTTCCACATATTGGTGTGGCTAGGGTTTTACTCATTTGCCAAAACCATAGAAAATCTAACACGCTTTAATTGCAGATAATTCTAAAATCAGTAGTTCTGCTTTTCATTTTAAGGAAATTCTCTATTGCAAGGTTACAACTTAACTTAGAATGTAAATGATGTGTTTAGCATTCTGTGTATTTATATCAAGTGGATCTATTTTACCTAGATTCCCTTTTTTTTTCTTTATATTTCTTTTCCTATCTAGTCAGAAGTAGAGAAATTTTACTCCTCATCAGTAACTGTTAAGATAGTTACTCTCTAGTGGCAGTGATACAGGGAATAAATCTTACTTCCCTTTGATGCAATGCACCTTCCCCTGTGCTTTTAACTTCTCATTTACTACTCAGTATCTTGGTTAAAGTATATTGGAGAACTTTGGCACTTGCAAAAGAGGTCAAACTTGCTCTTTTGGAGACATTGGCGTTAGATTATAAATGAACCTTGCTCATGTTTTGGGATCTAGTTAACACAACAGTCATTGTATCTCTCTTTAATGCTGCTTGGTTATATATTTACTACTTCAGTTATGGAAGTAGTGTGAATTTTTACAAAACATTTATAGTCATCGTAAATTAAATCCTGCAAAAATGTTGTCATTTGAAACTAACTGTGGGCTTGGCTTACTGATTGTCTTGTAGTGTGAACTCAGCACAGAATGTGCCTATAAAAGGTATAGTCCAAACCTTTCTACTCTTTTCTAAAGGTGTTGTTCAGCTCTGCATTTAATTGGCTTCTCTAGTCTTTCCTCCTCTGACACCCCCAGCCTTGCAGTTACTTACCTGATTTGTCTTCTGTTTTTTATGGGATTGCCAAATATGGCCAAAAAAAGCTCTTGGCGTAATCAGAACTTAGGTAGTCAGAAAGGAAGTTGTGAGTTTTGCAAGCGCCTTTGCACTTCTCTGTACAAAGACCTCGGCTTGTTAGTAGCCGCCTCCGTTTTGTAAAGAGAAGGAGAGAAAAATGTCCCCTGTAGAGGTGATTCTGTTTGGGAGCAAAAACAACAATGTGCAGTATCTTAGGGAATGTACCTAGATGGGATAGAGCCCTCGTATCAGAGCCTGTTTGCTTAGAGTCCTCTCTGGGAGGAATCACGAGCAGTTTTTACTGGGGGAAGGAGAAGATTCTCTCACCAAGTTCTCTACAAATAAAAATCATTTGAGATAGGCATCCTTTTTTTTGCATTCACCTT